ATGATCTGTCTAAAAATGGATTTGTCAAAGATGGTTCTTGCTGAAATCACCATGTCTAGGGGTTGCGGAGCCAGGTTCTAGTGGATTGAGATGGAATTCCAGCATGCAGTACTAAAGGGGCATTCAAAAAACGAGATGGAAACTTGTTTCCTCACAAGTTATTGCGCAACACACAGTTATAGTCATCTAGATGCCTGTTTTTCCTTCTTAGCAAGTTCCAGGTGTTCAGTCTGTCTCTTAAAAGAAGCCAAAAGAAAAACTTGTGTTTCCCAAGATTGCAAGAGGACCAGAGCCAAGAAAACGAAGGTGAGGCTATTTGGATTCCTTGAGCTGAGCATAGGCCTTTTTAGATGAGTATAAATCTGATCCCCCACTTATACTTCCAGGTATCTTCTGTATTTTCACCCCAGCTGCTCTCCTCAATTAGTGTTTGCAGTTCCTCTAGTTGTTCTGCTGCTGCAATGGACAAAGGTAGGTTGAAGACTCTGGATGGAGAGCTGTCAAGGAAATAGCTGATAGAGCAATTTTTTCCTGGACTGCAAGTGGTGAGGTTTCTGAAATTTTCTGTTAACTTGAGAACATCCTTCGACCAGAAGGACCCAACTGGACCTCTTGCATGGGGTGATGGTAGAGCTTTGTCCAAGCTAAATGTACCTAGGGTATGTCTGCATGGTTATAAAATTTGTCAAGATACTTGATAAGGATGGTTGTATTCTGGTTTTGGATATTGGTAATTCCAAGACCTCCTTCTTCTTTTGGTCGGCAAGCTATTTCTCAGGTAGCAAGACATGAGCCCTTCCTATTGATGTCACCTCAGAAACAATGCATTCTATATCTATCAATGTGATTGGTTACCTTTAGGGGATTTGCAGGCAGCACATGTAGAAGGTAGATAAAGCTAACAAATCGAGTTTACCAAAATAAGTCTCCCATGGTAAGAAAGGAGATTGCTGATTCCACCAAGCCTTTGTTCAAATTTGTTGAGCAGAGGACTGAAGTCATGAATGCTAGGCCTATGAGTGCCAAGAGGAAGCCCTAGATATGTGAAGGGCATGGAGCCAATAGTGCAACCTCGAGGTACAGCTTGGAGAAGACACGGACAGATCCGAGCCTTTCTCTACACTTCCTTCACTCTCTCCCTATTTTGTATACTACTACTAGAGCAGGGCTTCGTCCATGAGTGGAGTGTGTAGCCCCTCCTTGTGGTAATGAATGAGAGTGAGGGGTAGTGGGTATTTATAGTCCTAGGGGTGCCTTATGAGAGTGGATATGCTCTAGAGATGCTAAGGAATATTCCTTTCGGTGGGCCCATGGATTCATGTGCTCTCCATCCTCCACCCTCGGATCAAACCGCCTTATTTTGCATGGTTGAGATCTTCTAATGTTGTACTTCTTTGCATGCAGGTTGGTGGAAGGCGGTGGAGAGATGGGGGAGGTCGGATGACCACCTAGGGGGTCGGCCGACCTCCCTGCTCATCACCGTCGGATTGCATCATTGACTGGTGGTGACCAAACGCTCATTAGCGCCGGAGTGTGCCACTGAGCAGTGTTGACCAAATGCTCATCACCACCTGTTCATGCTATAAACCGGCAACGGTTATAGGATCATCAATGTCGAATAAAACTTCGAACCGACGATGATCATGGCATCGTCACAAACTGGATGAAATGCAAAACCGGCGGTGATAGCATATTATCGCTGTCGATTCTAAATTGGAGATGATGAGTTGATGACCATGGCCATCATCGTTGATATATCATTGCTGAGGCCAAAACCAACGGTGATGAGCGGTTTCGACCCATCAATGATGATGTTTATGTAGTATTGGATTGTCCGGGATGTAGTCTATACTTGTTCCGGTGTTGATGAATGCCCCACCACCAAATCGTTTTGTATGGGTCCGTTCGGCTACAGCTCGTAGCGCTATTGCTACAGTGCTCTATGAGAGAAGAAAAAGTGGTTGCGACAGTTGCCCGACAGGCTGTATGTTTTGACAATCTACTATCCATATGTCCTAACCTTGTGATGTAAAAGAGGGCATGCTAGCGTCCGACCAGGGTGGCACCCAGCATTGCGCCGACTAGATTTTCGCCTTCCACACCCGCGCCAGCCCACTTCCGCGTATCCACGCCTGGCCTAATTATGAAAGTCCGACCAAATTGGTGAGCAGTCTTTCTGCATTCATGGTGCCTAGAAAAGTGAGCCAAACATTTCTATAAGTTTAAAAAGCTATAGTTGCTGAACTAAGAATCAAAATTAAATTTCGATTTCATCATTATGTTTGTTGCAATTAATCATTCAAAACAAGATCACACATGAATATATTTAGATAAAATTTTATCAACAAAATTTATCTTATGAAGATAGAATATTTTTATTTTACCGAGAAGAGGCGGTGTTTTAGGTCTTAAGATAAGATGTCCTGTCTTCATAAAACAAATGTAATGTTTCATATTTAGGATACAAGCATTATAGGAAATGGTATTATAATATCAATAACAATAGAGAAAAGATGAATAACAAGATCTATAACATATGTAGAGATAGATAAATAACATAACATAAATAGAAGTAAAAAAATAATAAAAGATAGAACAAAGCATAAGGAAAACAAAAGGAATAAAAATAAAAGACAATGTAATAGTAGAAAATTAGAAGAACATCACATGAATACTAATGAAATACATAAAATACGTTATAGAACATCACATGTACACTAAATGAACATTACAAATACATCATAAAATATTATATGTATACTATATGCGCAAAAAATATCAAACATCACATATATACTACGTGAACATTACATATCACATGAAATTTAGTAAATAACAAAAGTAAAAAATAAATTATTAAACTAATGAATTAAATTAAAATAACAAAGAATAAAATAAAAAATAAAAAACATGAATAACAAAAGCCTAAATATATGAAAAAAATGAATAACTTAGATAAGGAAGAGAAAAATAAAGTTGAAAAAAATCCACGTACATACTACACAACAATGATATGTATCTTATGTAATATATAAAATGGTAAAACTAAAAAAGAACATAAAACATGAAAATAATTAAATAAAAATTAGGGTAAATTAAAAATAGAAAATGAAAACAAAGTGAAAAAATATACATAAATAGAGAAGAAAGTAAATAGAAGAAAAGAAAAAAGAAATACGAAAGAAAAGAGTAAGGAAAAAGAAAATAAAAGAATAAGAAAAATAAAAAGAAAAAGAAAAAGAAAAGTAAAAATAGGAAAAAGGTACTCATGTGGCGTTTCATGTGGGAGGAATGTGTGGGAACATGTGTTTCGTCCGTGTCGCTCCTCGTCGGGTGTCGCTACTCCTCAGAGAAAAGATCGTGGGAGAGAAATCCACCGTGAGCTAAGAACGGATACGGCTGCCAGATTAAAGAAACTAGCAATAAAAGCCTCCTTGGGACGGCTGGTCGGCACAATGCTGGACGCCGACCGGTCGGACGCGAAGATTGGCAGGTGTAAAGTCTGCGGCAACAAAACTCTGCACCGAAATAACCTAAGTTAGGAAAGAGATCAATCTTTTTTTCTTTTTTTTATAAGGAAAAGGAGGAGCCCAATCTAACTATGCACTTGCGGCAACATAACTCTGCACCGAAATAACCTAAGTTAGGAAAGAGATCAATCTTTTTTTTTTTTTTATAAGGAAAAGGAGGAGCCCAATCTAACTATGCACTAGACAGCCCTCGCTGTGGCCCGACGGGCCTCGCCCCTCGGCCCTCCCTATACCAAACCAAAACACCAATCAACTATATGCAAAAGCCGTGGGTTTAGACTATCTCCAACAGCGCAGGCAAACGGCGAGGCAAACACAAAATTCATCGTGCACAAATATTTTGCGTCCCAAAATCACGCTCCAACGGAGGACGCAAATAAGGCAGCCATTTTTGCGTAGCAGGGGAGTCGGAAGGCAAAAAAAGTGTCGTCTCTCTCGACGACGCAAGCACTGTAGACGAAGGCACCGCCAGAGAGAGAGAGGCAAAGAGAGAGGAGGTCGAGAGCAGAGAGAGAGAGGGAGGAAGGAGGCGGAGGGGGAGGGGGAAGGGGCCGCGCCGCGCCACACTGGATCCAGCGTCCCCGCGCCACGCCGACACCGGATCTGCCCGGGGGAGAGGGCTGCCCCATGTCACCATGACTGGACCGGGATCCGCCGCCGAGGATCCATGCTGGCCCACCGCCGCCCCTCGGACGCCCGTGCTCGGAGGAGGAGAGGGGGGTTGCCGTCTGCCGTGGTCGAGGAGGAGGCGTGGCCTAGATCCGCCGGGAGCCGTCGGAGGAGAAAGAGAGAGTCGCCAGGTCTGGCTCACAAGCCACGCCAGCCCACACATGTCTGCCTTGCCCACCGCCCGAAGACAAAGGAAGGGCCATGCGACGAGGGAGGGAGGAGGGCGCCACAAGACTCCTCATTGGGCACACACACAGCCCGCCACCCACCAAGACAAGGGAGGCGCGGGCTTGCTCATGAGGAGGAGGAGAGAGAGTGGAGGGAGGGGCGTCGGGCTAGCTACGGTGACAAGGAGGGGCGCGGCGGTGGGTGAGGGATGGGTGTGGATTTGGGTCAGGGTCGGTTGGAGAAGGTGAAATTCGAATCCATAATTTTTTTCACTGTAGGTAACCTTTACTGCTGACTGAGTATCGTGTCTGGTTTTTTGGGTTTATTCTAGTGACAGTCTCAGCGAAGCCCAGCAACACCCTCGCGCGGTGTCGAGCAGCAAAGTAAAGCACGTACCGCATGAAAGCCGCCCCCAAATCACGAGCTCCTCCTCCCTCTACCTCCTGCCTCTTCCTGCGTCACCACCGCGCAGGCGCAGCCATCCCCATCCTTCCCTCAAATTCCCAACCTCACCCAGGCCAGATCCGATCGCTAGCACCACCGATGCTCCCGCCTCCTTCGCCTATCCCTTCATAGCCGCGTCGCCACCGCCGCCGCCGCGAGGCGGCCGCTGCCTTTCTCCGCTCCCTTTGTATGGAAACGCGCAGCCGCAAGCGGGCGGAGGCCTCCTCTTCTTCCGCGACCTCCTCCTCCCGCTCCTCCAAGCGCTCGCGGCCCAACCCTAACCCTAACCCTAACCCTCCCGCCGCCTCCTCCCCCGCCCCCAACCCCGTGCCGTTGCCACCACGCACCCGCCGCTCGGCCGGTGTCAACCCCCGCCCCGCTATGGACTCCTCGGGCGACAACAACTCCAATCCCAACCCGCCGCCGCGGCGCCGCGGCCGCACCTCCAACGCAGATAAGGGTAAGGAGCAGCAGCAGCCGGAGCCCTCTCACAGCTCCCGAGTGCGCGAGGCCGAGCGCTTGCTGGGCCTAGGTTTCGAGGGAATTGAGGATGACGACGATGCGGGGTTCGGGGCTGGGGCCATCCCCCACAGCCTGACTTCTGCGAGCACCGCGCTCCAGGGGCTGCTTAGGAAACTTGGTGCTGGCCTGGACGATATACTGCCGTCGTCAGCACTGTCAGCTGCAGCCGCAGCTGCAGCCGCGTCATCGTCATCAGCATCCGGGCAGCTGAGTGGGAGGTTGAAGAAGATTCTTGCGGGGTTGCGTGCTGATGGAGAGGATGGGCGGCAGGTCGAGGCGTTAACACAACTCTGTGAGATGCTGTCCATTGGCACAGAAGAGTCTCTTGGGGCATTCTCGGTGGACTCATTTGTCCCTGTCCTGGTCGGGCTGCTCAATCACGAGAGCAACCCAGACATCATGCTGCTCGCAGCACGAGCCCTAACTCACCTCTGTGATGTGCTGCCGTCTTCTTGCTCTGCAGTTGTGCATTATGGTGCTGTGCCTTGCTTTTGTGCCCGGCTTCTCACCATTGAATACATGGACTTGGCGGAGCAGGTATGCTCTACATTAACACATTGCTTTCAGTATGTTGCTTATTTGTCACTTTGCTGCATCCCTTTCATTGATTTGTGGACATGGTTTTATCGTAAACTTCATATGTTGGTGTGTAAACATTGCCTAGCGTTCCATTTGTTCCCTTCATAGTTTGCAATAGTTTGGAATTGCTAATGGTCAGATATTAATGCATGATTTCCTTAATTCCTCATTCTATTTGGACTCTTGGGTGTTGACGTGGTGCATATTGAAAGCTCTTGTTCAGAAATGGTCCATTTAACACAATTGTGTTAAGTTGATTTTTTTGTGCCTGTTTGGTGAAGTTAGATAACAGGATAGATACCCTTCTATGTTCTGACTAGATAATGAAAAGGTTAGGTTGTTTTTCTAAGATATTCCTGTGTCCTGATCTGCAGCTTCCACTCTATGGTAGATGTTATTATTCCTGCACCATGATTCTGGCACCTCTCTATCTTGATTATACGGCATGGTCATTCCTTACCTTTTCTTTCTTGGGGTATAATTAAAAGTGGTGAAATTTGAATTGATATAATCTCTTTGAAAATCTTACTCTATATCATTTTCAATTCCTGTTTGCTGTCAAATTTAGTTGGATTTAGTGCAACCGGTCATCAAGAAGTGTCAGCTACAGAAGTTCAAGTGATTATTTCAGCTTATAACTTTATATGGTCTTAATTCTTCTGTGATACTGATACCTTGACAAGTGTAGAGCTTTAGGGCCAACACGGGCCATGCTCTCTCCCCCTTCATTTTAGCAACTCCATAAAAGAACTGGCATTATTTTGAGCTGCATCGCTAATGAAGCATGTAAATACGCTTTTGGAAACACTGAATTCATCTTCAAATCACTGCCCTCTTCCCCTACTAACTTTGGCTGCAAGCTCTGCCACTGGTTTTCAATAGAACATTTTTCTGGTTTCTACTGTTGTTTGGATCTCCAGAAATAATGTCTTCTCGTTTGAAATACTATGTGTATAGATAATAGATGCATACATGTACAATCTCTTCGTATTTTTATGCATGCTCTTGATGGTGGCCTAACATAAATGCTATGTTTTTTTTATTTAGTCATTGCAAGCTCTTAAAAAAATATCCCTGGAGCATCCAACTGCCTGCTTGCGGGCTGGTGCCCTAATGGCAGTCCTATCATACCTTGACTTTTTCTCCACAGGTGTTCAGGTAATCACTCTGCCTATTCTAGATTTTTGCATCACAAAAAAAACTATGTTTGTTCGCTTGCTTCAGCCCATTTATCTGATAGCTTATTCTTATGCATTACTTGTTTCTATCAGATAAATGGAAACAAGTAATGCATAAGAATAAGCTTATTCTTATGCATTACTTATTTTTATTACTAACTGCTGTTTTTGTTGATGGAATGTTTTCAGAGAGTTGCATTATCTACAGCTGCTAATATGTGTAGGAAACTTCCTTCTGATGCATCAGATTTTGTAATGGAAGCGGTTCCACTTCTTACTAATCTACTGAACTACCATGATTCAAAAGTACAATTGCCATTCCAAATGCTGATTTCCTTCATGATGCCATCTATGTTTCAGATGCTGATGTTATGTTTTTCCCTATTCCAGGTTCTGGAGCATGCTTCTGTCTGCCTTACCCGTATTGCAGAAGCTTTTTCACCATTTCCAGAAAAATTGGATGAGTTGTGCAATCATGGATTGGTTGCACAAGCTGCTAGCTTAGTATCTGTTAGCAACTTAGCAGGACAGGCATCCTTGAGTACATCGACATATACGGTACACTTCGTTTTTCTTCTTCTTTTTGTTACAATTATTTATTAGCTGACATGGGGGGAGGCAATAAAAAGAGATTTAAAGGGTTCGGATATACCTAGAGATCTTTGTTTGGATAGGAGTGCTTGGAAAGCAGCTATTGATGTGCCTGAACCATGACTAGGGGCTCATGTTGGGTTTCAACTCTAGCCTACCCCAACTTGCTTGGGACTCAAAGGCTTTGTTGTTGTTGTTGTTTGTTGTTACACTTATTTATTTTAGATTTGTGAAATTTATTCCATGCTTTCTTACAGGGTGTGATTCGTCTTCTCTCAATATGCGCAAGTGGATCATCTCTGGCAGCTAAAACACTTCTCCTTCTTGGAATTAGTGGCACACTTAAAGATATCCTTTCAGGCTCTGGGTTGGTTGCTGGCACAACTGTGTCCCCTGCTTTAACAAGACCAGCTGATCAGGTGATTTTGTCTTTTCATAGGCACACTTTAATGCTCCTTGGGTATCATGTGTGCTTGATATCTACATTTGTTGTTCATCTTAACAAGCTAAGTGTAAATTAATGAAGCTATTTGAGTGGTACATTTTTGTATTTCAGAGTTCAACATACCCTATGCTTCAGATATCACTTTAACTATTGATTCCAAGCCCAGGATATCATCTCTATTAAGGCCCCCTTTGGCATGGCTCTGGCTCCGGCTTTTTGCGGCTTCTTGCAAGGGGCCCTGCTAAACGGCCATCTAAAAAATGGCTCCTTGCAAGGAGCCGGAGCCGGAAAAAAGTGCCTTATCTCGGCTCCTCACAAATTTGATACAAATTATTGCAGTGCCACTGGAGCCCATTTTGCCAAACGTTTTCCAAAACGGCTTCAACTGGCCCTAATTATAAAGCCACACAATTAATCGCACAGTTCCCAACCTTACATGTCCCTCAATACAGCCATCTCTGCCCCCATTCTGTACTCCACACATGCCTGAAAATCTTCCATGTTCTCTCTCTTCTACCACTTCGTGGTGCAGTGAGGGGGCTTACTTGTAGGAGTGCCTAATGCGTGCCATAGCATCTTTACGCACAATGACACAGGAACAAGTGTCATCGCAGAAAAAAATAATATTTGTATATTTTAAAACACTGTTTTTGATGAATTTGATGAAATGAAACCGAATAAGTCCCGTAACATGTGTTTCTAATAATGCAATTTGTTTTTTAATCACAACCAAATATTATACTTTTAGTTTGTAGTCAATGTTCCTCTATGGCATGTCATTATCTTTTCTTCAATGCGAGCATACCCATACTAGTTCCCATGTTGAGCATTTGTGAACTTGATGTTATCCTATGTTCTATTCCTGGTACCAAGAATATATTCTGACATTAGCATAGTTTATATTTTTGATAAATTGTCATCTATGTTAAATTTTAATGGGTATTGTAAGTTGTAAAGCTACCGACTTTCTGGTTGTAGTTATATATTATCACCACATGATCCACTTGCAAATGATGCCATTATGTGTTTTTGGGTATTACGCAGATGAATGAGATTGTGAAGCTTGCAGATGAGTTACTTCCTCCTCTGCCTGTTGGGACCATTTCTTTACCGATGTATTCCGATGTTCACATGAAAGGTTCTTCTGTAAAGAAATCCACTTCTAGTAAGCAGAGTGAACATGGTTCAACAGGAAATGAACTATCAGGTCGGGAGAAGTTATTGCGTGGTCAGCCTGAACTTCTGCAGCAATTTGGTATGGACCTGTTACCTACCATGACACAGGTCAGTCTCTTGTCTTATTACTGTTTTCTTTGATGGTGTTAATGGTAATGCTGATGTGGTATTACGGGACATTGTTGCTATCATGTTGATGTGATTCTTAAGGACTTCAATACCTTGAACAGGTGTATGGCTCTAGCGTAAGTGGACCAATACGCCACAAGTGCTTATCTGTCATTGGGAAATTAATGTACTTTAGCTCAGCCGAGATGATCCAGTCTCTCCTTAGCACGACAAACATTTCCAGGTGCTAACACAAAAACTTTGGATATCTTCCATTAAGTTATCTCATGTTATTAGAAACTGTCTTATCACATGAATTCCAAATATTTTTCAAGCTATTGACTTTTATATTAACCATTGCAGCTTTTTAGCTGGCATTTTAGCTTGGAAAGATCCACAAGTGCTGATCCCTGCTCTTCAGATAGCAGAAGTTTTAATGGAAAAGCTTCCAGAGATATTTGTGAAGATGTTTGTGAGGGAAGGCGTTGTTCATGCTGTTGAGTCACTTATATGCCCAGAGTTCACTGGTCAAGTGACCCCTCAAGTGTCACAGCTGGACAATCATGTGGATTCCATTACATCTTCACAAAATAGGCGCAACCGCCGGCGAAATAATGCTGTGAATACTGAAAACAGCTTGCCTGATGGATCAAAAGGTTCCCATTCTGTGATTGCCAATTCACCACCGAGCATGGCTGAAGTTCCAAATAATAGTCTCCGTGCTTTAGTTAGTAATCATGCAAAGTCATTTAAGGATAAGTATTTCCCTTCAGAGCCTGGCTCTAGTGACATTGCAGTTACTGATGATCTCCTTAAACTGAGGGCACTTTGTGCAAAACTGAATACAACAGCTGACACTATCAAAACAAAAGCTAAAGGAAAATCAAAGGCTGTAGTAGGCAATAGCTTTGATGTGTTATGCAATATTGAGGAGCAATTGGATGGTATAATAGCTGAAATGTTGTCTGAGCTTAGCAAGGGGGATGGCGTTTCAACATTTGAGTTCATCGGAAGTGGAGTTGTTACAGCTTTGCTAACCTATCTGTCATGTGGAACATTTGGGAGGGAAAAGGTGTCTGAAGCAAACATACCAAATTTGCGTCATCAAGCAGTCAGACGATACAAGGCATTTATATCTCTTGCCCTTCCAAATGATAAAAGTGGGAATAGAACTCCTATGGCATTCCTAGTCCATAAACTGCAAAGTGCCCTCTCTTCGTTGGAACGTTTCCCAGTTGTGCTTAGCCATTCTGGAAGAGTGCCGACTTTGGGAGGATCCCGCCTGACGACAGGCTTAGCTCTGTCACAGCCCTTCAAATTGTGTCTTTGTCGAGCGCCTGGTGAAAAGTCACTTAAGGATTATTCATCCAATATTGTTCTTATTGACCCATTAGCAAGTCTGGCAGCTGTTGAAGATTTTCTTTGGCCTAGAGTCCAGCGCACGGAGCCAGTCTCGAAGCCTCCAGTCTCATCTGCAAATAATTCTGAATCCGGAGCAGCAAGTTCCACTGCGCCTTCAATTCCGCCAGGAATTCAATCTGGCCGTCGAGCATCATTAAGATCACAGTCATCAGCTACCACTAGTGGTGCAATTAAGAAGGATTATCAGGAGGGAAGCATAAACACATCAAAGGGAAAAGGAAAAGCTGTTCTTAAATCGAGTTTGGATGAATCTAAAGGCCCACATACTAGGAATGCTGCACGAAGAAAAGCTGCTTCAGAGAAAGATGTTGAACTGAAACCATCACATGGTCACAACACTTCAGAGGTTAGATACTCATGCATTCAATCTTATTTGCTATTTGCATAATATATCAATTGATCCCTCCTAAGTGACCTCTGTTGCTAAGTTTGGCTTCAATTTCTCTGACTCTGGGACAGCTTGATTGCAAATGTTTTTTTAACAGTGCCTTTTGTTGTTTACTCAGCTGACAAATGATTTTTGTAGTAATGACATAACAGTAATGCAGCTAATTTGTTTTTCCTTACTGTTCATAGTGTATTTAGTTTGATCCAAGTATGTAAGCAGAGGATTTCAAAGGGATATGCTGCAGAGACAAACGATGTACAGATTATATAACTATATAAGTATAATATCATAAATGTATAGCAATGAAAATGTACTGAGCTGTGGCATTTCTGTGTACATTGCATTTGTGTTATTATAGCTGAATAAGATATAAAAACTGAAGCAACAAAGACCAAAGTAGAAATATGCTTGTTTCACTATAATTTAAAGTGATGTTATGTAATGACCTGACTACACTTTTGTATCTTAGATAGTATACTGAACTATATGATGGATACCCACAAATATGAAATATGAGTTTATTTCTTTAAATAACAGATTTTTTGTATTTCATTTTTAAATATCTAAGGCCATGTTTAGATTGCAAAAAATTTCAACCCGATGAATAGTAGCACTTTCGTCTTATTTGGTAAATATTGTCCAATCGTGGACCAACTAAGCTCAAAAGATTCATCTTGTGATTTCTAACTAAACTGTGCAATTAGTTATTTTTTTTATCTACATTTAATGCTCCATGCAAGCGGCTAAAAATTGATGTGATGGAGAGAGAGTGAAAAAACTTGGAATTTGGAGGTGATCTAAACCAGGCCTAAGTGAAGTTTTCAGGGAAAACAACTTTATGAACTATTATTTGGACTAGCACATGCATGCTCCTTTATCTGAATTTTAGAAACTAAACAGATCGAAGGGCCTTCAACATATATTTATATTAAGTATTATACCTGCAGGATGAAGATCTTGATGCTTCTCCAGTTGAGATTGGTGATGCTTTAATGCTTGATGACGACGACGAGGATGTCTCCGAGGATGAAGATGATGATCATGAGGCGGTAATATTTTTTTTTTCCATTTTGCTTATTACTACAAAGGTTTGTATTGAGTGGACATGATTTGGAACTCAGTGGATTTTGTTAAAATGTTCAGGTTCTCCGAGGGTCTCTTCCTTCCTGTGTTCCTGAGAGAGTGCATGATGTGAAATTAGGAGCTGCTGATGATAACCAGGCACAGCCCTCATCTGGTTCCAGTACAAAAAATACTTCTGGCAGGGGATTGGATGCTGCTGAATTTAGAAGTCCAAGCACATTTGGTTCACGGGGTGCAATGTCATTTGCTGCAGCTGCAATGGCTGGATTAACTTCAGTAGGTAGTCGTGGTATTAGAGGTAGCCGAGATCGGAATGGCCTTCCATTGGGTGCTCGTACAACCGAGCGTCACAACAAATTGATATTTACAGCTGGTGGGAAGCAGCTTAACAAACATTTGACTGTATATCAAGCTGTTCAAAGGCAAGTAGTTCATGATGAGGATGATGAAGATCGGTTAGGTGGATCCGATTTACCCGATGATGGTAACCACTTCTGGGGTGATGTATTCACTATAACATATCAGAAGGCTGATAACACAGCGGAGAAGGGGTCTGTTGGAGGTTCAGCTTCAGTGCCAAAACCTTCTAAATCAGATTCTTGCAGAACTTTGTCTGAAAAATCGTGCACTTCTCTTCTTGATAGTATTTTGCAAGGAGAGCTTCCCTGCGATTTAGAGAAATCAAACCAAACCTACAATATCTTATCACTATTACGTGTGTTGGAGGGCTTGAATCAGTTATCTCCTCGCCTGAAACTGCAGGCAGCCTGTGATGATTTTGCTGAAGGAAAAGTTGCTACGTTGGATGGGCTATACGATGTTGGAGCTAAGGTACCCTCAGAGGAGTTTGTCAACAGTAAGATGACCCCAAAACTTGCTCGGCAAATTCAGGATGTTCTTGCACTGTTTAGTGGCAGTTTACCATCTTGGTGTTATCAGCTGACGAAAGCTTGTCCTTTCCTGTTTCCTTTTGAAACACGAAGACAATACTTCTATTCCACAGCTTTTGGGTTGTCTCGTGCACTGCATCGTCTTCAGCAACAACCGGGTGATAATACTAACACTGCTTTTGAAAGAGAAGTCAGGGTTGGTAGACTGCAACGCCAGAAAGTCCGTGTTTCTCGTAACCGTATCTTGGATTCTGCGGCTAAAGTTATGGAGATGTTCTCTAATCAGAAGGCTGTCCTAGAAGTTGAATACTTTGGTGAAGTTGGAACTGGACTTGGTCCAACTTTGGAGTTTTATACTCTCTTAAGCCGTGAGCTGCAAAGGGTTGACTTAGGATTATGGAGATCTCATTCTCCAGATGATTCTGGCATGCAAATTGATGGAAATGCTGATGATTTAACAGATGAAAAGCGTGAATCAGAATCACTTGTTGAGAGCAGGAACATAGTACAAGCACCTCTTGGTTTATTTCCTCAGCCTTGGCCACCTAGTGCTGCTGCATCAGAAGGTAGCAAATTCTTCAAAGTTGTCGAGTATTTCCGCTTAGTTGGTCGAACGATGGCAAAAGCATTGCAAGATGGAAGGCTTCTTGATTTGCCTTTGTCGACAGCATTTTACAAACTTCTGCTTGGACAAGTAAGCATGAGAGCCCTTGAGCCAGATTCATTTTATATTTTCTTTTAAAACTCCTCTTTTCTGTTAGCACTTAACTTTCTATATATGCCTTTCCCTTGTTAACTTTACCAAATTTGCTTCAATAGGAACTTGATTTGTATGATATATTATCTTTTGATACTGGGTTTGGAAAGACATTGCAAGAACTGCAAATTCTCGTTGCACGTAAACAATTTCTTGAGTCCTGCTCTAGTGAGAGCCAAAAAATAGAAGAATTATGTTTCCGTGGTGCTCCCATTGAAGATTTATGTTTGGACTTTACTCTTCCGGGCTATCCCGATTATGTTCTCAAGGAAGGTGGAGAGAATGCAGTGGTAAGTGATATGGTGGCCTAGTTTGTTTTTTTTCCCTTCAGTGTTGCTGCAGATTACTCATATTGTTATCCCCTTCTGTAGGTCAACATTTATAACTTAGAAGAGTATATTTCTTTGGTTGTGGATGCTACTGTTAAGACCGGAATAATGCGGCAAGTAGAGGCATTGAAGGCAGGATTCAATCAGGTATTTTTGATTCATGGTCGATTTCTGTTAATCAATGATCGTAGAACTAACTAGCACATTTATTTATTTTTTCGAAAAAAATATTTCATTGTATATTTGTCACTTCAGGTGTTTGACATATCATCACTCCAAATATTTTCTCCTCAAGAACTTGATTATCTGATTTGTGGTCGCCGTGAACTTTGGGAGGTACTGCTTCTGTGCTGTCATTCTTTATGTTGTACTTCCTCTGTCCCAGAATGATAAGTGTATTTTGTGATGGATAAGTCTCATGGGTGGTCTTTGTGGGGCTGTACTGCTCACATGGTCCTTGTGGCTGTTTTTCTGCTTTTAGAACAACATTTTAGACTAGAGGACAGCAGGACAGCATCTTAGACTAGCATCTTAGACTAGCATCTTGGCATATGCTTGGCTGGCTAGCAGCCTATAAATATGTAACCCCAACCCCTCAGGTTGGCATGGCATTTGAGTAAGAAATAGACAAGAAAATTGTCCCAACTCCTAGTGTCATCCTCTCTCGATGAGAGTAAGAATTCTCCTACTACCAAGAGTGAGAATTCAGCGACTAACAAGTAGTATCGAGAGTCAGATTATCCTCAGAGTTCGAGCATCTCCTGCCATTCATCTCCCTCCTAGCCACACAACAGTTTATGCAAGGGAAGCAGCTCAGCTGCCTCGCTCACTCCCCTCCTTGCAGACAAGCAAATTTACTCTGAGCAGCAACCCTCCCCACGCAGCCAGTCCCAGAGGCGCGTCATGTCCGCAGGGCGATCTCGGCCTTCGGTCGCCTCGAGCACGCCAAGGCGTCGGCGAGGTCAACTTGCCGCGCAGTTAACGAAACGTGGCAGCGGCGGCAGAGACTGCCTGCCAGCAAGGGTAACGCCGAGGTCGGGTAATGGCGGAGCCAACTCAGGCAGCAGGCAGAGAGGCGGAAGCGGCGGGCGAATCAACAAGTCTTGGCGGCAGCAGAGGTCGAGGCTCTGCGGCAAGACGGCATCAGCGACTCCATTTCGCTGACGACGACACCGCACGACGCGACCTCGAGTCTGCTAGAGAGGGAGGCAGCAGCAGCTGGCGGGCGCGATGGCGCCGCGACGCCCACAGCGTGTGCGGGCGGCCTAGACAGACAGCGGACGTCTTTGGCGGGCGCTCTCGGAGGAGGCGCGCCGCACGGCGGTGGCGCTCTGGAGGAGGCGCCGCGGCAACGGTGGCGAACGAAGTCGATGGAGAGCGCGGCCTTCACAGCGGCGTGGCTCTCTCCCCGGATCGGTACCCGCGTTACCACGGGCTCCAGGTCGTTGTCGGGGACGCTCGGTCCCGCGGTGGGTGGCCTACCCTCACCAAGACCAAATCGCCGAGTGGGTCGCGTGATGAGGTAAAGCTCCGGTGTGGCACATGTGGGAGGCGTCCCGATGCGGCGACGTCGACTACGACCTAGATCGACGGGCGCCGGATGCTCTCATCACGCCTGCAGCCCCGCTGAGATGCGCTTCTCGCTTACCAAAGAAGCGGGATCGCCAAGGAGGCTTGGGACGCCATCGCCGCACGCACGCAGCGGCAATGATCACGCCAAGTCCCTGCTGTCCACACCGCAGCACTTCGCAGAGTGGGCTGGAGAACACGCCTTCAAGCCGGTGAGGACGTTGATGACTTTGCTCTCCGCCTCAACACTCTGCTGCGAAGATGGTGCGCTCATGGACGACACTTACGGGCGAGGAGAGAGCATGAAAAGCTCTTCCGCCAAGTCCCCGAGAAGTACAGCGGATGGCTCGCTCGATCGAAGTCTCTCGCCGATCTCTCTACGATGTCGATCGAGGAGGCGATAGGTCGCCTCAAGGTGTCGCCGACGATGAAATCGCCTCAAGGTCGCCGACAATGATGAGCGCAGATCCTCTCGGGGCCCATCACCATCGGCGGGAAGCTCCTTCTCACTCACTGGGAGCGATGGCTTGCCACCGGGGTGACCGAAGAAGGGGGAGCCTTCTTCCGCGACAAAGCGCCGCAGCGTGTGTAAGCCGCGCAAAGCGCGCAGAGACGCCAGTTTGGGTCTCGAGGACGTCAAGCCGAGGGTGATGCCCGCGAGGCGCCAGGCGTCGCCGCCCGGCAGTACAAGCCAAGACGAGACAACACACCGCCACGCAATCGCGCCAACCAACCATTGGGCCAGGGATCGTCGACGAACCACACGACGCTGCCAGGCCCACGTCGCCAAAGCGAGGAGGAACTGCTCGTTCATGGCACATGCCAAAGACGAAGCTACCTCCGGCATGCCGGCCAGCCAGTTCTCCTCCACCTTGACGAGCCAAAAGCACACGCCTCTCCTCGGCGGCGGCTCCGCAACGACAAGATCGACGGGTGGTGCCTCGACACCGCGCGCCACCATCATCACATGACCGGTCGACGGAGTTCTTCACCGAAGCTTGACTCTAGCGTCCGAGGCTCCGCAAGTTTGGGGATGCCTCCGGCGTGGAGATCAAGGGCGTCGGCTCATTCATCTTCACTGCTGCGTGTCTGTGAGCACAGTTACGCTCACCGGAGTCTACTACATCCCCGCGTTGAGGAACTCAATCATCGCCTAGGGGACACCGGATGAGAATGGTTCGCGTGCGTGGTGGTTGAGGATGGAGTCATGAGGATTTGGGATCGCCGTCGCCACCTTCTTGCCAAGGTATCCGAGCGCCGTCGACTCTACATCCTTAACGTGCGTGTGGCACAACCCCTCTGTCTCGCTCGTCGGGATGACGAGGCGCGGCGATGGCGCAGCGCCGGGCACCTTTTCACTTCGAGGCCCTGGCGGCCTGCCACGGAGATGGTGTGAGGCTGCCGTGCCTTGACCATGTGGAGCGGCTCTGCGACGTCTGCGTGTTGACGAAGCGGGCGACTCCCCTTTCCCAGGGCGAGCTTTGAACCAAGGAGAAGCTCGAGCTTGTGCACGGGACTTGTGTGGCCCGGTGACACCGCCACACCGGGAGGACAACGCTACTTCCTGCGCCGCTCGTCGGCGACCTCTCCCGCTTACATGTGGGTGATGGTCCTCGGCAGTAAGGAGAGGTCCGCGGGCGCTTCTCGAGCGTCTTGCGAGTCGCCGCGAGAGGCGGAGTGTAGCCGCAAGCAGCGTCGCTGCTGGTCTGCTAACAAGACCGAACGGCGGCGAATTCACGGCGGTTTAAATTCACGTCGTCTTCTACCGACGAGGCATTCAATACACTACTCCGCTACCGCATCTGACCAGCAGCAGAAACGGCGTCGTCGAGCGCGCGCAACCAGACGGTTGTGGGGATGGCTCGAGCCTCCTCAAGCGAGGGGGATGCCGGCCATCTTCGGGAGAGGCGGTGGTGACGGCCGTCTACATCCTCAACCGCTTCGCCTACCAAAGGCGCCGACGGCAGGACACCGTGACGAGGGCTAGGCATGGGCGCAAGCCGGTGTTCTCCCACTTGCGGGTCTTGGTACGCCTCGCGTTCGCCAAGGAGCTTGGCCACATCAAGCTCGACGACAAGAGCACTCGGAGTGTTCATCGGCTCACGCTGAGGGCTCGAAGGCACCGATATCCTCGACCAAGACACAGCGTGTGCGCACGCGCGCGCACGTTGTGTTTGACGGCGGGCGCGAGATGAGCGTGGGACAAAGGCGGTGGATGACGGCTTTCGGCTCCGACGTCGACGACTTCAATTGCCGAAATACGTCCACTTCGAGGAGCTGGGGAGTAGGCGGCTCTTCTTCTAAAGCGCGTCTACCCCAGGTCCCCGAGCCTCCACCGACCCCACGCCAAGCACTCGGCAACAACACCACACTCTCCGCCAGACCTCGGCTGCGATGAGTTCTTCACGGCTCCACTACAACCGCAACGCCACAGACTCCAAAGACCGACAGCAGCACCACTCCGCACGTCTACTCCACCACCACCTCGTATCGAGCACGCGACCCGGTTGAGCTTTCGCTACTCTCGCTCTCTCACGACGAGGAGCGTGTCGACGCGATATCACGACGGCGAGCCGTTCTGCGGTACCGTCACGATGGAGAACCTTCTCGGCGACCACCGGTCTGCCGGACCGGTGCCTCCACGACTGAGGCGCGCAGCTTGCACCTTGCGTGTAGATTTACCGGCGAGCCCTCGGTGTATCATCGCAGAGAGGTCGAGAGACACGCGGCATGATGCGCGCCCGCGATGCGATTGGAGATGGATGCGGTCGAGAAAGAATCGCACCGGGAGCTTCTTGACCTTCCTCGTGGTCACCGCGCGATCACCACCCTTAAGTGGGTGTTCAAAATTCAAGAGGATGAAGCCGGTGCCATCGCTCAAGCACAAGGCTCGCTTGGTGGCACGAGGTTTCGTGCGGCGGGAGGGGTCGACTTCGACGACGCCTTTGCTCCCGTGGCACGGATGGAGTCCGTCATGCGACTCCTCCTGCTTTAGCGCCCAGAGGGGCGGCGTGTTCATCACATGGACGTCAAGTCGGCGCCTTAACGCGGCGACTTGAAGGAGGAGGTCTCGTGCACCACCACCACCGGATTTGCGATCCCCGGCAAGGAGGGCAGGTGCTCCGCTGCGCGCAAAGCCCTCATGGCTTACTGCGAGACGAGGCGTGGAATGCCAAGTTGGATTCCACGCTAAAGGGATGGGCTTGAGCAAAGCCCGCACGAGGTAGCCATCTACCGACCGGGCGGTGGAGGAACCGCCTTCTGGCTTTGGTGGGTGTCTCACGTCGACGACTTGGTGATCACCGGCACCAAGGATGCGAGGTGGCGGCATTCAAGAAGAGATGAAGGCCACCTTCTAGATGAGTGACCTGGGTCTCTCCTTCACCAGGCATCGAGGTGCACCGTAATGACTCCGGATCACACTTCACGGCATCGCCTCGCCAAGCGCGTCGTTGAGCTAGCTGGGCTCACCGATCGCAACCCACTCTCACTCCGATGGAGGAGAGGTGAAGTGAGCCGCGACAACACGCATCGAGGAGGTGGACCTTCGCAGATCATCGACGTCTTGTGGGGAGCCTTTCACACCTCCCACACACACGGCGGGACTTGGCATTCTCTCGTCGGCTTCGTTAGTCGGTTAATCTTGAAATGACCGACGACGGAGCACCAAAGGTATCGTGAAGAGGATCATCCGCTATGTTATGGGGACTCTCGACCACGGCCTCTACTACCCGAGGTGCCCCAGGCGGCACACCGTCGAGCATACAATGACAATGACCACGCCGGCGACATCGACACCAAGAGAGAGCACGCAGGCGGGATCCTCTTCTTCCTCGGCAAAGTGCCTCGTTAGTGGCGATCGGTCAAGCGGCCAGGTGGTGGCCACTGTCCACCGCGAGGCCGAGTACATAGCGGCCTCCACCGCTTCGACTCAGCGCTACTGCTCGCTCGACCGCTTGGTGATCTCCTCGGCAGAGACACTAGAGCGGTGGAGCCTGTGGTGGACAACAAGTCCGCTCTGCCCCCGGGTAAAGAACCCCGTGTTCCACTGAACGCAGCAAGCACATCCGGGTGAGGTACCACTTCATCCGAGGCTGTTTGGAGGAAGGGAGCATCAAGGCGAAGCTACATCAACACCAAGGACCAGCCTGCGGACCTGCTCACCAAGCCCCTTGGGAGGATCAAGTTCCTTGAGCTCTGCTCCAGGACCGGGATGGTTTAACTCTCCCACAAGACGACGCACAAGACTTAGGGGGAGAATGATGGATAAGTCTCATGTGTGGTCTTTGTGGGGCTGTACTGCTCACATGGTTTTTGTGGCTGTTTTTCTGCTTTTAGGACAGCATCTTAGAGGACAACATATTAGCATCTTAGACTAGCATCTTAGACTAGCATCTTGGCATATGCTTGGCTGGCTAGCAGCCTATAAATATGTAACCCCAATCCCTCAGGTTGGCATGGCATTTGAGTAAGAAATAGACCAGAAAATTGTCCCAACTCCTAGTGTCATCCTCTCTCGATGAGAGTAAGAATTCTCCTACTACCAAGAGTGAGAATTCAGCGACTAACATTTTGTACAGGAAAAATCAAATTTTACAAACTTTGACCAACAATTATATACAAGTTTAAGACATAAAACTCGCATTAATAGATTTATATTCAGAGTGCCTCTGAGATGACATTAATTGTTTAGCAAATGAAAACATATTGCAAGAGAAATTAATGGTCAAAATCTATTTTGTTTGACTTTTCCCTGATCAAAATACACTTAATATTTCGGGATGAATGGAGTAGTTGTTTTGGCTTATTCTGAACAATTTCACATCATGCAGCCGGAAACACTGCCTGAACATATAAAATTCGACCATGGTTATACCTCTAAGAGTCCTGCAATTGTCAATGTAAGTTTCCCTGCTTCTTTGTATTTCATTTGCATGTTTCATAAGTTTATTTGGATGTTTCTACTGTGCTGTTTTGCAGTTTCTTGAGATCATGGCAGAATTTACTCCTGAGCAGCAACATGCTTTCTGCCAGTTCGTGACTGGTGCTCCTCGGCTTCCACCTGGCGGTTTGGCTGCCCTAAATCCTAAGTTGACTATTGTTAGGAAGGTAAATCAGTTATCTTTGTTAATATTTCTACTTTATGGTTGACATGCCTGCCCACATATTATTGAACTTTTGAATTTTGTTTGAATTCCAGCACTCATCTGTGGCAAATAATACTTCAAATCCAACTGGAGCGACAGAGTCTGCAGATGATGATTTGCCTAGTGTCATGACTTGTGCCAACTATCTTAAACTGCCACCATACTCCACCAAGGTATGCTTCTTTCTGCTTTTTGGCGAACTGTGGTTATATCACCTGTGTTGCCTTGGAAATCGAGGATTCAGAAACCCAGTCACCAAAGAATTACTTGACCATAGCCTTTATCGTAACTGGTAACTGGGTTCACACTGGCCAGCACCTTACTGGTTTGACTGGCTTATAGAAGACCAGCGACTCATAAGTTAGAATCATTATTTCATTAGTTTAAATTCAACATAGCATATTCCACATTGTTTGAACTTTTATTGATTCACTGTTTTTTCATAAAGAAAATATTTACAGTGCTACTCGTGCAAGTGTGCCCGTAGGTTTTTTACCTGTACCATCCTTCTGAATTGTGTGCTGTTGTTGGAACTTCTTGCAGGCTATCATGTTAAAGAAACTGCTTTATGCGATCAACGAAGGCCAAGGGTCATTTGATCTTTCGTGAAGCTCAACACTAACATAGATATTGGTCAACCGAGAAATTTGTGTCATTGTTACCCAGAGTTAGTTTCTACCTCATGTATGACATAGGTTAAAGTCAGCTCTCCACAGTCCCACCGAAGGTTTGGATCGTGTACCTTTGGGTGTGGATGTCTATATTCTCTCTTTTTCTTTTCGTTGTATATATTCTTGTGGATCTTTATAGTGAATAATAATAAATTGTTTTGCTCTCCTTACTATGCTCCTTGTAATCATCATCAGTGACCGGCTCCGTTCGCTTCGTTGAAAAACAGGCTGAAACACTGTTCCGGTTGATTTGTTATGAGAGAAAAACACGGTTTCGGTTGAAAAAAATAAACCGAAAAAGATGGATTATAAGAGAAGCGAACAGGTAAGTGTTCCATCGTGGTCATGGCCTTCTTTGGATGCTCCCCAGCCAAAGCATCAGGCAGCAAAACTTTGGTCGATGGTTTCGCTGCCCACGAATCGGCTGGACAGGGGCCCATAAACTACTCACGGGAGTTACAGGGCTAGCCACATTTGTCATCCAAACACACCCACGGTCAACAGCCAACTTTGGGCCTGACACTATCTAAACGCGACTGTGCTGGATCCTATGACTGTCCTTTCCGAGGCATCTGAGGATGTAAGTTGTCGACTGTCTAAACGCGACTGTGTTCGTTTCGCTGAAAAGTCAGGCTAAAAAATACTATTAACTGATTTATTGTGAGAGAAAAATACTGTATGTTACGTTCTTAAGTGAACAGGGCTTGATGGAGATAAATTATGAGACCTGCTTGGTACTACCTCTGTCCCCAAAGAATGCAACTATGATATGTATGCTGATTTAAGCGCTTTTACGTTTGATCAAGTTTCTAGTAAATATTATTTACATCTAGAACTTTAAATTAATTTATTATAAAAATACATTTTGTAACTAATCTAATGATATTTATTTGATAATGTATTTATACTTTTTTATCTATAATTAGCATATACTAAAACATGATACTATTCTATAATTCCATTCTTTTGAAGACGGAGTGAATAGATAAAAATATTCCTTTCCTCTCGTTCGCAAGGTCATCTTCGTTCGCCCGAGATTCCCTTCCACGATGGTTGCATAGCTCTCGTCGGAATAGACGGCCAAGCACCCAATCGTCGGCAGCATAGCTTGTTGGCTACCACTCAATCGAGCTCCTGCAGCATCCAGCCTCTTCCTTTGCGCAAGTATTGCGGGGAGATCTTGCAGTCGGAGCTCATGGAGTACCGACACGACGACAGGTCCCGTGGCTTCAGGACGAGCATCCACTGCGACAGGATGACCTTGTTGTCTCGAACGGTAACGACTTTTAGTCCCGATTACCATGTCGGAACAACGATTCTGGGATTAAAGGTGCAACCTTTAGTTCCGGGTCATCGAGCCGGAATTAAAGAGAGATCTTTAGTCTCGGTTGACCTCCAGCCGAGCAAACGTGGTCACGTCCTTTAGTCTCGGTTGGTAACTTCAACCGGGACTAAAGGTTTATTTTCTTTTTCTTTTTTTTTGTTTAATTTGTTTTCAGTTCAGTTACATATATTTGTATAATATATAATATATTTTTATGTATGTATTCTACGCTGCTAATATAAATACACGCACGCATATAATTACATCTAATTCTCATCTCGAGCATTATTATATTCGAATAAAGTATGAAACTATATTATATATATATATATACACAACACTTTCATAATCTTGTTCTCGAAAATAACGATATCAATAAATATTTAATTTACATCATTTATTCCTTAGGATCAAAGTAGAACTCGCCGTTGGGATTTAGCATTTTTTTCTAGAAGAAATCATGCTATTGACTCTTGAACTGCTTTCAGATGGTCTTTTTGCATAACCCTTTGTTTCAACGATTCAGTCTTGCATTTGAAATAAAAGGAAAAGTATTAATACATATATATATATATATATATATATTCATTTAAAAATAAATAAAAAATTGATATATACGTATCTCGAGGACATCTTTAGGAGTTCTTCTTACGTATGCTTGCGATGATAAATTCACAAACGTAGTATCCACACAAGTTATTACTTGGTTCAACGCCAAACACACCTTTAGAGAAAAAGATTATTCTCATCATCTCACACGTAAATTAAAATACGATATAGTAATTAAACACGTGGGGAAGTATATATAGTACAATTCTTTCGGTATTTCAACTACATTAAGTGGTGCCTTGCAATCCTTGCGGTGTTCTTTGAATAAACTCTTTCCAAACCCCAATGGACCAATAATGTACGATTGTTAATAAATTATGGCAAAGTCTATTTAATAATAGTTGTGCGAGAGATCAAATTACCCCGGATAATGTCTATCATATCTTGGTATAGTGCCCGCTCTTTTCTCAACGAGTTCAAGATTACTAACCGACTTGAGTTTAACTCAATGACAATGAGTATCCAAAGTGAAACCGCATTAGTTTATACACACGTACATTCATATAAGTTGTATTGATATTACATAAAATATGTAACTACATTATTATTATTATTATTAACACTTACTCAAACTCATACGGGAAAAGTATTATTGTCTTGTCGTGCGTGCTTCAATCGAAGAACCTCATGATATTCTTACTCTCCGCACATTTTAGATACCCACCTCCTTGGCAATAATATCGGTTTTGAATACGATATAAAGATCAATGAAGCCAACACTGGTATCTTATATTCTTTAGAGCTCTGACATCTGGAATCTGTATATAAATATAAGTTACATGTGAGGATAATTATATACACGTACGCATGGAAGTGAGTTTATTAAATAAAAGTAAGAATCACTTACAAACAAAAGCAGCTAATGATTGATTTGTCCAGAGCGTCCATGTGGTATAGTTGATGCAATTCTTCGAAACTAATATGTAAGATGTTATCGCCACGGAAGTAATGATGGTCTCTAAATCTAACAAAGATCCACTCCTCACCCCTACCACACGCCTGCATATACCACTTGTTGAGCAAGTACATTTACGTACCCAATTCATTTAGAGCCGCAGGGTTGTACAGACTTTTGCCAAATTTATAAGTCTTCCAGGTATCAACTTCCATGTTCTGGATTGGAGCTTTGCCCGTCAATTGATCCAAGGTTAAACCAGTATCTTTAAAAAAAGCATTAAGGTCTTGAACCGACACTTCTCCAGAGTTGTCTGGTCGATAGACTTCTATGTTGGAACCATACTCATTAGCAACAACAAGATTTTGCATTGGTTGCTTCCATTGTCCGAAATAACAGTGGGACATCCTTCCCCGATGCTCTTTCCTTTTCTTATCTGCATCATGTGACTTCACGAGGGCGGCCATAGTCGATAGTGGCCGAGGCTTACGAGTTCAAGCATCTTTTTCTTGTGATCTTCACCTTACGCCTCAGGCAGATCTCGTGGTATGTAAAAAGTACGGCTTCTCCTTAAGCTTCGCTTGTCTCTGCTTTTGATATCTATAAAAAAAATATTTCACTTTTTGTCTTCTTCAGATGGTCATATCATTGTGGAAGGGGTGCGGGCGTTGGAGACCGGCGTGGAGGCGATGAGGCCGGTGTTGGAGACCAGCGTGGGGCGTTGGAGATCGTTAGGGGGCGGTGGGGCCGATGTAGGAGTTGGAGATCATTGTGGAGGCGATGGGGCGGTGTAGGAGTTGGAGATCACCGTGGGATGAAGTCGTCTCTTCCCATGACGACGTGTGATGATGGGGAAATGAATGATTGGGCTAGGTTGGGAGACCTCTACAAAAAAAATAAGTTGTGAGTCAATTATTTTTGAAGCCAATAGAAAACTAATGGAAAATAATATTTTATTCACTTTCATTCGTACCTAGGGTGAGGTAGGGAAGCGGTGGCGCCCAGAATGATGATGAAGCGTTTGCGCCATTGAATAAATGTCTTCTCTCGCTTCTCCTAGTGTCTTCTCCCCATCACCGCCTTCAATGTCAAGAGGAACATTGTCAGTAACCTTTGAGCACTCTATCGATCGAGACGCTAGCATATCCAAAGTTGAATAATCGACCCATGGATTCTTGATGTCTTCGTTCGGTCTATTGGAGATACAACCCCGACAGCCACCATGATTGATGCATTATTGCCATCTGGAATGTGCAGCTCACATGTTGTTAGAGGCTCGGTAATGTCATCAATAGGGAAGCGCAACCCAGCGTCATCTTGAATAACTGGCAGCTCCGTGGAAGCACAACTGCTTTTCATCTGACCAACGGGGCTAATGGTGACTCCCGGCGTTGATTGCGATTGCATTTGACTCATTGCTAGCTGCACTTGTCTCTTGATCTCCTCCTGCATTCTTGCCTCAAGAGATTTTTCTCGTTCACGTGATTCAAGCAATGCTTGTCGTGACTCATTAACAAATTGCTCCAATACATGGATTCGGTCTGCCTCCTCATCCTTCTTTCTCTAGCGGCTTCTGTAGGTATCCTTGTCTGCTGGGAATGCTTGTAGCCATGGAACCGCCCCATAGCCTCTTGTTCGACCACCGTGTTCGGGATTCTCTAGGGCATATGTCAATTCATCATTCTCTCTGTTGGGCTTGAAAACACCACTATCAGCTTCTTCCCTAGCACGAGCTAGTCTCTGTGTTGCTCTCTCAATTTTTTGGCAAAAAATTAGCTTGTCAGTGTCTGGGTCTAGGCTTCCCCCATGAGCGTAGAACCAATTCTTCGCGCGTTGAGGCCGAGTTCTTCTCTATTGTTTTAGGTATGATTCCCTTGGCAATAATCTCTGCTTCTAGGTTCTGCCACTTGGGAATAGCACTCCTATAACCACCTGATCCCATGCATGATGGTATTGCTTCTGTCGGGCATTCTGCTGATTCCTCATCACACGTTCCTCACTCTCTTGAGATGTCTTGTATTCTACGAAGTCAACCCAATGGGACTCCAACTTGACAAACGCCTTAGCATTGAAATCCGGTGTATCATTCTTCAAGATAAACTTTTTATAC